GGGTACAATTTTATACATTATGCAGTGGGTGGCATAAAAATTTTCGTTCGATCAAAATGACAACCGAAAAAAAGTGTGGCAATAATCAGATATACAGCTTTGGTTAACTTTTAATCTAAGCTGAGCTTTGTGAAGTAGAACTTGCTTAAATTAAACGAATAACTTTTATAAATTAATGACAACAACCGTGTATAATAAACTGACCAGAAATACTTTACGGTATAAATAATTTCACCAGAAAGCTAAAACTAATAATAATTGGAATCCATTGAATTGTCAGTGAGAAACGTAGCTGTTAACAACATTTTGACTGTAATCTAACAAGTTATAACATAGTAGGAGATCGTGTGTTAATTTGAATAGGGGTAATTTAATACTTTAAACGAAGGACGTTGATTGGTGCGTAGAAATGAACACATTTTTTTTCATACTATTTGCTTTCGGGTTTTTGTGTGCATTTATTTCCAAGTTGACTGTTCAATGATACAATTATTATTTTTATGTTTCTTAAAAAGATTTTTTTTTATCTTACTTGATGAGCTTGTACTTAAAACAGCAGTGATCAATTCCGATAATGGTTTGACCAGTTTAGAGCACCTGATTGTAAAATAACAACATCCTTCTTTTCGCGTGTGAACAAAGATGTGTTTCGAATGTTATGTAGCTCGTAAGCGTCTGTTAGAGAAATCGCAATGTACATCCTTTGTAGTTTAGCAAAAACAAAAACCAGTGTATTTCATATATCGATATGTTCTCATACTCATTAATGCTGAATGTTGTCAGATAAGTTCGAATGCATATTGCTCAAGTAATTGCTTTATGGGTTTTCCTAACATTAGAAAAATCGTTAATGTTTTGATATACGCAAAACATCGTTATTTTGCTTATCAAATATTTGGTACACACTTATCATTCGGGTCTTACAAAATCAGTACATACACTGATAATCCTGTGAGAAACGCCTGGTTCCGAGCGTTTCAGTTAATATGGATTGAAAGTTAGTTTCTTCATTGCAACTTTGTTAACACTTCCCACGTAGCTTCAGGTTGGCATTAGTTCCATAATCTTAAAATGCGTTTTGAGTAGTGTATCGCCCATAGATAAATCTTTTACGTGACAGTTCAAGCTATTATTCGAAACTGGAAGTATTCAGTATCAGATTATGATTATGATAACGATATATATGTGTGTAACCAGTTAGATTTTTACAGCGAAAGCATCTGAATACCCCTACTAAAAATACATTTAATTAAAGAAAAACATTTGAGCCGTTAAATATTTTACATTTGACAAGGTTTCTAATATTTTTAATAGTTATCAATCATAGTCATACCTCACAACAAATCTGTATGCATTGTGGGTGTAATCTTTTAAAAAAGTCGCACTGTGTCACTTTTTTTCTTAATTACAGTAGTGCCTTTTAGGCCTTCGGATAAATATTTGTCAACTAAAGCGATGTCTCATGATAAAATTCACAACAGCCACTCTTTATAGTGAAAGTGTACCTAAAATGTACTAAATAATATAGTGATTATAGGATAACAATTTGTGTGCAGATAAAGATAATTTTCTCAAAACAAAAAAACGATATAATAAGATAATATATTTTGTTAAAGGTGAGTTTGACCCATTTTTTATTGTTTTATATGTGCGAAATATTTTGCTTTTTGAGCGTGTTAATTTATGTTAAAGATACATTGTTGATTATTAAACCGTAAATATATCGCCTGGCAACCAAGGAAAACACAACGACTACACCAGCCAACTCATGCACATGTACTACGACAAGAAACGATGCATTCCCCCTTTTACAGCGTAAGCTCTAATAAGGGCTAGGGGTAACTAAGATACATGTTAGCAGCTAGCTAACAGAAGCCTATACTCCAACCCTGGCAACTCACGAAGGTCTTGCTCGGCTTTTTTTTTTTTTTAATGCTAAGCGGATATACCCGGAAGCGAAGCTACACCAGTAATAAAACTGAAATAGGAAGTTGGCGGATATGTGCTAATATTCACAGTACTTTTTTCGCCCAACAAATATAGTACTGAGTTGTTGATCGTTGTGTCTAAAAGCTAAGGAAACTCTCCATTCTCACTTAATTTGATGTTGTAGGTAACATAGCTTCAAAGTTCAAACCACATATCTGATGTTTTAAAGCCCGGGAAAAATTATCAGCCTATTGCGAGGATTTTGTTCTTAGCCCTCGTATGTCGTTGCGGAAGTGTTCTGCGTAACGCCGCTTGCATGTGTGTCGTCTATAAATAGTGTGTCGATTCTCTACCGGGTATCGTAGATGTTACGCCACATCACTCAGAGTTTTTTGACCCCGTGTGCTGTTTTGCTTCTGCTCTGGGAATCGGTGACGTCACAGCACTAGTCTTATATTCGTGTTTTACATCTCGTGAAGCCTGGGGACCAGCATTTAAACCGAGACACCATTGTATAGAAATAGCTAATTGTAGGAAACAATAAGGATTATCATAGTCTTGCAAAGTGTGATTATTAGAAATTATTTTAAGTAATTTTCACCTAAATGTTTTCCAATAACAACACTTTATCACTCGAACATATTCATAATCATTTTGAACTATTTGGTGTTAAATGTTTAACACATTAGTATAACTTCAGAAATTAATGACTGTGTACATTGTACACTGTCTGAAGTTTCAGTTTGTTATGTGTTTGTAAATCCGCTGAACAGATCAAAAACGATACTTCTTTTTTAAAAACAAACCAAATGCACACACATGCCAATCGTAGTGTTCTTCCCAATTCTTCATTTTTTGCTGCCTGTACCAACTTCCCTAATTCAAGCTTCTCATCTACAATCTATTTCCTAATGTCACAAAGTCAAATGAGTCTCACCCTGCCTTTTGCTCTTCTTTTTTCAATTTTACTCATCAGAATAGCCGCCAACCTTCCCTCAGATCTAATTATAAATCCAAAGTATTTTGCTACATATCGCCAGTAGTCTTTTTTTGTAGAGGCCCTGCATGGCCAGGTGGTTAGGGCGCTAGACTCGCAGTCTGCGGGTTCGAATCCCCATCACACCAAGTATGCTCGCCCTTTCAGCCGTGGGGCGTTATAATGTGACGGTC